CTTCAAACATTTTAACTAGAACATACAAGCTTTAGATACGTTCATTAGGGGACTAAATGGCGATATGCCAAGACTTTTAGCAATAAAAGTGCCTAGAGACTTAACACAAGCACTTGCATTGTGTCAAAAATTGGAAAACCAAACCTTTAGAACTAAATATGCACAAAATTCACGCACCAATATAAAGAAATTTGTTCAGTCGCCACAATTGCCTCGAAGATATAATCAATGTGTTTGCGCCAATGCGGGGAAAGATGCAAAGCTCAACCAAACAAAATAGAATAAAAACACAATAGGGGGGTTTTAGTTTTAAGAATTATGGCAAAGGCCGTATTTATTAATAATAATAAATAATAATAATTGGTAAGACAGATTACCTGATTTGCACATAGCGGGGGAGCGCGACTTCGTATCGAGCGATAGAAGGAACGAGTGTAAACCAACGATCAAAACATGAAGGAAGGTGAAGGCTTTGGCGCCATTCGCCACTCGTTGAAATCTGTTTACATTTATGTTGACAGATCTAAACGAGGTTAATCATTTACAAATTAATTATGCGTTAACCCATTGTTAACGTTACAAACAAATAATTACCAATCTAAATTAAACATGCCGCCCACCTTGCAACATATTGAGATGTTGTAACTAAAATACAATAATAAATACATTTTTTCAACTTTTTTTTTATTCAATTTCAATTTAATTCAATTTTTTTTCTTTTATTTCTCAATTCATTTAATTTTTTTTCAAAAAACATTGTGTAACACTATATGTTACATATGCCCGACAATACCCACCCAAATATGGTGTAGTGGGCTATCGGCAACCCTGGCGTCGCTTGCACCCGATGAGTTACGACCCTGGCATAAACTTCCGGCCCGAGTACCAAGGCCACCCGACCAGGCCTATTAAATCGGGATCTGCCAAAGGAAGACCTAAAAATGAGTCACGAATGCGCTCGGGGATTACCGCTGTAGGCGTAAGCGCATGGTCCAAATTGGTTACCACAGCCACAATTGAAATGGACTGACTCCGGTCATAGATCGAACTAACGGTCAGCCGACATGTTTGGCTACCTTCGATTCTAGAAGTAGGGAGTCGAAGATTATGCACCAAAGAGGAACATATCTGACTCTGCCTACTACACGGGTCCAAAACCGCCCTCACAATAGTGGGTCGATCGGACGACATAATTTTGACTATCAAAGTCGGGGATAGGCAGATACCTGTTTGGAGGGACAACAAGCCGACCAATCCTATCTGCGAGGGGGGAGCGTTATCAGACGGACGACTATACGGACTGTTACGTGACCGATACCTATACTCGGTCCGCGGACGACGCTGACGATTATTAGTGGGTTTAACCACGGTCTTCGTGTCTTCATGAAGGAGGGTGTGGTGTTCTTCATTGCATACGGCACATTTTCTTTTGCTTCGGCAGTCCCTAGCTTGGTGGGATTTAGATAAACACCGTATGCAGTCATTGTATTTTAGGACAATGCGACGTCGCATGTCAACATTCATAACCCGGAAGTCACTACATCTATCCAGCGGGTGCATGCGATCACAAAGTCGACATTTATGTGAGGCCGCAGATGAAACCTTATGGGTTTCGGACCTTAAATTCTTTTCCGACTCCTCCAAATGAGGTGTGGCAACCGGAGCCGCAGATGGACCCGAAGATCCGGACTCGGTTTGTAATGTATCATTTTTGGGGGGTGAATCAAGAACCGGAGCCGCAGATGAATCCGTTGCTATGGATTCGGACTCGGTTTGCATCGGTTCAGCGAGGGCCGCAGATGAATCTGCTTTATCGGATTCGGACCCACGTTCTGAGATTTTTACAGCCGCGATCGGCTCAACAAGGGCTGCTTCCACTGCAGCTGACGACATTCCAGCTTGGGGATCGGTGGGCCGAGGTTCATTATAATCAAAACCGTCATCAACATTCAAAAGTTCTTCTTCCGAATAGATTTTCACCGACATACTATATAATGAGAAGAGAACAATATTATTCGTTTGCGGGAGTGTGGTCGGTCAAAACGACCAACTTTGTAATGGGCCGTCTTACAACGCCGTTTTCCGTTCGAACGTCCGCGACTCTAACATGACCGTCGGTGCCCGGAAAAACATTTTCTATACGCCCTAATTTCCACGACGTTGGGGGAAGCTGATCATGACGAACAACGACTAGATCGCCAATCGCCATTTCTCTTTGGGGAAATTTCCACTTATATCTCATATGCAACTGCTTGAGATATTCATCTTTCCACCTTAAACTAAACTGGTGGGCAAGGGCCTGAACTTTCCTAAACCGATTAATTAGACTTAATGGTTGCTCTGTGATGAGAGGTTCAGGCGGGGCTAACAAGGGGGCACCAATCAAGAAGTGACCTGGCGTCAATGCAACGATTTCTCCTGGATTATCCGACATTGGACACAACGGCCGAGAATTAAGACAAGCTTCGATCCTAGCCAATACCGTGGCTAATTCTTCAAACGTGAATTTTAAATTTCGAGATTGCTTCCGAAAATGTAACTTGAAGCTCTTGACTCCAGCTTCCCATAACCCTCCCATGTGAGGGGCACCGGCAGGTATAAAATGCCATGATAGTCCCTGGTCTGATAAAGACGAGGAGGCGGAGTCAGCGCTTTTTTGGAGGAAATCTTTAAAATTTCTTTGAAGTTCACGCGATGCTCCAACAAAATTTGTTCCATTATCCGAAAAAATGGAATGGGGACAACCACGTCGAGCAATAAATCTATGTAACGCAGCCAAAAAATTAGCAGTCGACAAATCGGACACTGCTTCCAAATGAATTGCCTTTGTAGAGAAACATACAAAGACACATACATAGCCCTTTGTTATTTTACAAGACCGACCTAGATACGATTTTACATCAAACGGACCTGCGAAATCCACACCAGTGTTTGTAAAAGGTCGATTAAGAGTTGTTCTCTCAGGGGGAAGGGCAGCCATAAATTGACTGCAAGCACGTTTCTTCAACAGAAGGCACACTTTACAGCGACGAACAACCAGCCGAATCAAACTTTTCATACGCGGAATCCAATATTCCAACCTCAAAGTTCGCATCATTAACTGGATATCACCATGGACAGATTTTTGGTGGGTATATTCTACCAACCGTAGAGCAAAGGCACTCCTATAGGGGACAATTATAGGATTACGTTCCGAAGGTGCAAGTGTGGGCGAATTTACCAGTCTACCATTCATTCGCATGACACCATTGTCATCTAGGAAAGGATTGAGAGGAGCCAACAAACTCTTACTATCTAACGCCTTCTTGTCTAACAGATTCTTATAATCGCTGACGAAATATATTTTTTGAGCCGTAATTGCACAATAATTACGTGCGTCAATAATCTCTGCCGAGGAAATGCGTCTAGTGGGATAGTAGTAATGGTTTCTATACCGGGGATGTGTTTGACGAATAAATCGAAACGCGTATACAATGAAGTGAAGAGCTCTACGCAAACAAGAAAAGTCTTCCAAAATCTCTTTAAATGTCGACGGAAAGAAAGCAAAGTGACATTTAACGGGGCGCATTTCCATTTCAGTACTAATCGGAGCCAGATCACGAATAGACCATTCCGATTTAGTTTTACCTAGCCAACTAGGACCGTTCCACCATAGGGGGGAGGCTGACAATTCTATCGGAGACAATCCTCGACTTCCTAAATCAGCAGGATTATCTTCAGATTTAACATGGTACCAATTATAATTGCCAACATTTTCTTGGATTCGACACACCCTATTGGCTACAAAGGTCGTCCAAGTAGAGGGGGTTCTCTTCAACCAGGCAAGAACTATAGTCGAATCTGTCCAACAATAAATTTGATTAAATTCCAGATCTATTTCCCGCACAATAGTTTTCAATAGGTCTGATGCTAAAACTGCTCCACAAAGTTCCAAGCGAGGAAGCGAAATTGATTTCAAAGGGGCAACTTTCGTTTTGCACGACAGCAAATTAACGAAGATTTTTCCATCGGGGGACTCGACACGTATATATACTACCCCCGCGTATGCCTTTTCCGAGGCATCGGAAAAGACATGAAGCTCAACAGAAAATCCTGGAACATATTGAACCCATCTAGGTATCCTAATCGAGTTAACATGCGGATATGTTTCGACAAAACTTCTCCATTCAGCCTCAGTAGCTGCCAGAAGTTGATCATCCCAACCAATGTTGTCCAGCCAAATCTTCTGCATTATCATTTTCGCCCTAACAATCACAGGGGCCAACCAACCGACAGGGTCAAACAATTTCGCGATTGCCGAAAGAACTTCCCTTTTAGTGAAGTGTTTATTGACAATAGGACTCACTTCGAAGAAGAAACAATCTAAACGCGCATTCCACCTAATACCCAGGGGTTTAGAACTACTAGCTTCTACAAACGATAAAAGCTGAGCATCTACCAAATGCTCAGGGGGGAAGCAATCCAAAATAGCTCTATTATTCGCTGTCCATTTTCGCAGCTCGAACTTTGCCGACGATAGTGCCCTAATCAACTGGTCCCTGGCTGCCAATGCAGTCTCGATGTCATGAGCTCCTGCCAAAACGTCATCAACGTACATACATTTTCGCAATATATGCGCCGCGAGGGGAAACTCTGACTCAGTATCATCGGCCAGTTGAAGAAGCGTTCTAATTGCTAAATATGGTGCACAATTTACACCGAACGTCACTGTCTGTAGTTCGTAGTCTAGGACCTGTTTTGTTGTTGAATTCCGATACAAAATTCTCTGAAGGGGCGAATGCTTTGAATCTACACGAACTTGCCTATACATTTGAGTAATGTCCGAGTTAAACACGAATTTGAAGATACGCCAACGGAGGATCAAAAGAACTAAATCTTGTTGTAACGTTGGACCTATGTGCAATATGTCGTTAAGACTCTGCCCATTCGACGTTTTATTTGAGGCATTAAACACTACTCTAAGTTTCGTGGTCTGTTTTGCTAGGTTTATGACGGGGTGATGTGGTAGATAACACGAAAGGACATCCATAGAAGTATTTACGGGTACCGGCCTCATGTGGTCAAGTTCCAAATATTCCGATAATACCTGGTCGTAAACTAGTTTTAATTCAGGCTTTTTCAATAGAGAACTCTCATTCCGATAATATTGTTTGAGGACGTTCGCTCGAGACTCTCCCAAATACCCGATAGCGCTAATCTCAGATTTAAGTGGCAGCGTAACGATATATCTACCCTCTGAGTCCCTACGAGTAGTCCGGACGTAATTCTCCTCACAAAAACGGTCCGATGGAGATAATATTTTGCGTTTAGGAGGCTCTTCGATTTCCCAGAATCGCAAAAGGGTCTGCTGGATTTTGTCTTCTTCTGCTACATCGACAGTAGTGGCAAATGTTCGAACTTGTGTGGCTGGGACAGGACCCGTAACAAGCCAACCAAATACAGTATTTTGAGCAAGCAATGCTCCAGACAAAATGGGACGACAACCATCTAACAATATTTTTGGATAAAGATCAGCACCTAACAGCAGATCGACGGGACGAGATTCAAAAAGGTTAACATCTGCCAAGCGAAGATCGGGAATTTGTGACCTTAAGTCGGAATTAACCACAAACGAGGGAAGATTTCCAGAAATGGCACGCAAAACTAAAACGTTGGTTTCCAATTTCAGAGAAGGGTCGAAAGGACTGCTAATTTGTAAACGACAAGCTTTATTAGCCGTGGCCGAGAGTGAACAACTAACTCCTGAAATTACAGCATTCGTAGAACGCGCAGGAAGCTTCAAACGAGTTTGGAGTCTCTCTGAAATGAAAGAGGACTCGGAAGCAGGATCTATTAACGCCCTGGCAGGAAATGAAACACCTAGATGAACAATATTCACCATTGCGGTACCTAAGAGTACAGCCTTGTTCTGCGCGGCGTGAAATACTTGCCGGGGCAAGCAACCGGCGGATGTGCCTGGGGCGCAATTTTCTGAATTAGGGGGGACAGTCGAAGGCGTAGCACTCGAATTTCTGGGGGCATTGCTAGTAACAGTGGAAGTTCGATTTGAATTACTAGAGGTAATATCATCCCGATGCAACAACGTATGGTGGGACTTGTTACACTTCGAACACCGACGTTTGCTATCACAATTCTTAACTTCGTGATCGTTCCTAAGACAGTTGATACAAAGATGATGACGTTTCATTACTTTGTATCGATCAGCGGGTGTGAAACTCTTAAAGCGGGGACAGTCATACAATTTATGACGCTGATTTTGACAAATTAGACAATTTGAACCTTTCGAAGCGCGGGGAGAACGCGGTGGCTCTGGAATTCTGATATTTGAATGATGCGCTTGAACTTTACTATTATTTGACCGCTTAGACTGATCTGTAGCACGCATATCATGGAGGCACATGAGCGTACGTATGCGCTCAGTGAGAAAGGCATCCAAATCCTTCCAGGACGAAAGAGAAGATTTATCCTTAACACTCTGCTCCCAAAGAGTCTGAGTAATTTTTGGCAATCTCTGGAGACACAAAAATACTAATATCGGATCCCAATTTTCCGTATTGACATCATACACGGACATCGAAGACAGGCATCCATTGATACCACATTGGATCGACTTTAATCCCGAACTAGTCTCACTATAGAGGACCGGAATATCAAACAAAACTTTCAATTGGTTATGAACCAGAAGCCGAGGGTTATCATAAGTTTCAACTAGAGCCTTCCACGCGAGCTCGAAACTACGATTAATTAAGGGGAACTTCGATACAATCTCGCGAGCTTCACCAGAAGTCTTTCTAACCAGATGACAAAGTTTTTCAACGTCGGTAAGACGACCATTAACAATATATATAGCCGTAAACAAATCCCTAAATGTTGGCCATGAGTGGAAATCACCTTCAAATATGTCCGTATCGCACGGCGGTAGAGCAAGGTTATGGACACAATCCAAATGAGAAACTTCCTCTGTAGTTCTAAAACTGGCACTATTATTTCTCACAATAGAGGAAAGCGGAGTTTGTATCTGCGAATGATTTTCGCGGGAAGCATGAGTCGAAGTACTCAAATTGTTGCCAATAGCTTGCGAGTTTTGTATGGGCGACTTAGCTGAAGTCTCGCCCGGCGTTTCTATCAACGAAGCAACCGAACCACAAAGACTACCATTAATAGAGGAAGTACGATATTTTTTGAATTGCCCTAGCTTTCTATTAATTGCGGACTGGCAGTCGACATAGATTTGAAATGACGAATTGTATTTTTGATCAACCGCATCGATAACTTCTTTCGTCGTCTCTACTGACGACATCATATAATCACAGCACTTTTCAAATTTGTCCTGTGCTTGCGTCCAAAGTTTTTCTAATGCACTAAGATGAGACTGTAGCGCATGAATATCGAGCTGGTCATCACGCATCGTATTGAAACGAGCATTAAACTGGATAACCGCATCCGAAGTTCTAGTGAACATATCAATTGGGGTGAATGACATTGTGAATAAATTTCCCGAAATCTGTACTACAAAAAACAAGAAGGGAACGACTAAAGCACGATTTGCTCAGATAATTTATACAAAATCCACGAATTACTGATTCTTCTTCGCACAATATACGAAGAAAACACAAAAGTTTATACAAAAACTCCAAAAGTTTCAAAAAATCAACCGAGTTTTTCCAAAGTTCAAGAAAAATACCGAAAAGCTTCCGAAAATCTAACAAAACCGCACTATAGGGCCAAAGAAATCGAAATTTTCCGAGAAATAAATGCCTTGAACCTCTCACACAATAGTGAAATATCAAAAAACCGGTCTAAAATCACCAAAATTGTAATCTCCGATGAGATATTTAGCAACCAAATGCAAATATACAATGAAAAATATGTGAAAATGTTTAAATAAATAATAAAAATTTCAAATATATATCCAAAAAATATCAATAAATAATAAAAAATTCGTTAAATTGTGTAAGTTTTCAAAAAAAAAACCGTATTTTCGCGCACAAACAATTCAAAATATTCAATTTTTTATTATTTTCTACCGAAAATATTGAGATTTTATTATTTTTATTTCCACAGTTAACCTACTATTTAGGCAATCAAACTACCAAATGTAGCGTATTCTCAAAAAATAAATTTTAAAAAATAAAAATTTTATTTAAAATCTCCAAAGTAATTAAAATTTTGAAATTCCAAACGAAAAAAAAATCAATTTTAACACTTTTTATTTAAAAAAGTCGTGTTGACCGATCGTAGGGTGTACGCGTTATTAATTTTTCAAAAACGTCGTTTTCTGACACCCAATTATCATTCAATAATAATCAAAAATAAAATTTGAAAAATTTTAATATTTTATGTTGGTTCCGTTTATCGAGGTTCACCTGTAAAATATGTTAAGTTGCGTTTATCGAGGGTCACCTGTAACACAACAGACAATACCAAACGTATGTATGTATGCGTGTGTGTGTAAAGCGGCTGACTGACTAAGCACAAATGATGACCGCTAACGCGCAACAACAACAAACAAACCAACGTAATTGAAGTAAGTGTATTTTATGGGGGTGATTTGTGAATAATTTTTTAAATCTTAAAAATGCAATTTTGCAAAAAATTTAACAATTTTAAAATTTCAATTATACCAATCGATGGGGAATTTTATGCACATTAAAATGATACCCCACAACAATATTTTACTTTCAACAAAGATACCAAAAAATACACTTTTTCTTCAATTATTTTGATTTTTCTTTATTTTCAATTTGCCGTCGGCAAAACAATATTTGCAAACTAGACGGAGGGGACGGGGTAAGCGACGCGTTGTAAGACGGCCACAAGGAATATCAACGACGCGATTGTTGTTGCTTTTACACAATTTGTTTTTTTTTTTTCTTTTCTCTTCAAGAAAATTATTTATTTAAATTCACCGGCACTTTTTTCACTGTACGTACCTGATTGTTTTTGATAGAAACACGATGATGATGTTAAGGAGATGATGTGGTGGACTGTATAGATGGTGATGATGATGATATGCTTTGCAATTAGAAAAAAAGAAGAAAACGATTACTTCTTTTACCAACAGCTCGTTCGTAATCCGGTACGAATGGACCAATGTTTGCGCCAATGCGGGGAAAGATGCAAAGCTCAACCAAACAAAATAGAATAAAAACACAATAGGGGGGTTTTAGTTTTAAGAATTATGGCAAAGGCCGTATTTATTAATAATAATAAATAATAATAATTGGTAAGACAGATTACCTGATTTGCACAATAGCGGGGGAGCGCGACTTCGTATCGAGCGATAGAAGGAACGAGTGTAAACCAACGATCAAAACATGAAGGAAGGTGAAGGCTTTGGCGCCATTCGCCACTCGTTGAAATCTGTTTACATTTATGTTGACAGATCTAAACGAGGTTAATCATTTACAAATTAATTATGCGTTAACCCATTGTTAACGTTACAAACAAATAATTACCAATCTAAATTAAACACAATGCAAAGAGATTTCCACGCCGTGGCAAAACATGAAATAGCAGATGATCTAAATCAAGATCAAGCCTTACAGGAATATATTAATAGTTTCCCAGAATATCAAGAAAACTTGCAAAATTCTGAAGAAATTTTTACAGATATTAATTTTTAGGCTAACGCAATCCTCGTTACCCTATATTAGTTGTAGGACTAACGATAGAAAATTTCTCAAAATTCTTTTAGATACAGGTTCAAATAAAAACTACATTCAACCAAACCTATCAAACAACATTATCAAAAATGAAAACGAATTTTATGCTAATTCGATAGGAGGTCCTATCAAAGTTACCCACCAAATCTATTTGGAAATAATGAAATTCCAATAAAATTTTTTGTACTTCCAACACTCAAATCTTTTTATGCCACATTAGGGAAAGACAGTTTAAAACAAAGTAGATTATAGAAAATTTAATCAGATAACTATAGCAGATAGATATCATATACCTGAAATATCTGATATATTGATGCAGATCTCAAAAACGGTTTCCATCAAATCCCATTAAGACAACAAGATATTGAAAAAACAGCATTTTCTGTTAATAACGGAAATATGAGTTCACAAGACTACCCTTTGGTTTAAAGAATGCACCTGCAATTTTTCAGAGAACACTAGATGACATTTTACGCCAACATATTGGAAAGATAAGTTTCGTGTATGTAGACGAAACTGAAGAAGAACACATAGAAAATATCGAGAAAATTTTCCAAACATTACAAAACGCAAATATGAAAGTCCAGCTTTAAAAGCAAATTTATAAAAATGAAGTCGAGTTTTTAGGATTCATTATATCAAGTAATGGAATCAAAACAAATTCAAAAAATTAGAGACAAAAAAAATGTTTCACAGCCTAAAACAACAAAAGAACTTAGATCTTTTTTAGGCCTTTCCGGTTATTACCGTCGCTTCATTAGGGATTACTCAAAAATAGAAGGAAGGCAACCTGCGTTAGGTGCGGTATTATCGCAAGACAACAGACCAATTGCTTTTATATCCAGGACTCTAAGAAAAACTATGCTACAAACGCTATCATATGGGCATTAGAAAATTTAAGAAATTACCTTTATGGATCTACTAAAGTAAAAATAATTACAGACCACCAACCTCTTACACTTGCACTTAGCAATAAAATACTAATGGTAAGAATATGGAAAGCTACCATTGAAGAATATAATTATGAACTGCAATACAAACCAGGAAAAACTACTGTTGTTGCAGATGCACTTTCAAGAGCACCACAAACTAATTTTCTAACACCAACGCAGCATAGCGACGAAAACTCTTCTGAAAATTTGATACAATTTTCCAACTCTCCCATAAATGTTTATAAAAACCAAATATTTCAGCGACACATCCCAACTTACGAATTTGAAATAATCTATTATACTGACGAAGAACTTGTATCTTTACTCAAAAGATATCTTAATCCATCAGTCATAAACGGCATTCACACAGATGAAAGAACTTTAGGAGGATTATAAAGAGTATATCCTACTCATTTTAGGAATTTCAAATTAAGAATTTCAAGAGAAATCGTTACCGATCTGAATCATAGCAGGAAAATGAGATAATAAAAGAACATAAACGAGCACACAGAAACGCAAAAGAAAATAAATATCACCTACTAAAGAGATTTTACTTTCCTAGTATGCAATCTAAAATTAATAGAATAGTAAAACAATACATAGTTTGCAAAGAACAAAAATATGAAAGACACCCAAACAAACCGATTTTGAAAGAAACGCAAATTTCAGAATGTCCAGGTCAAATAGCCCATTTAGATGTATTTTACGTAAACCATAAAATAATACTTACAGGTGCAGATAAATTTTCTAAATACGCTCAGGCAAAAATAGTACAATCACAATCTGTCGAGGATATTAAAGAACCTTTTCGCGAATTAATAACTTCATTTGGTTTTTCCAAACAAGTTGTAGTCGACAATGAAAAATCACTAGCAGCAACGTCAATAAAATTCATGATAGAAAATCAATTTGGAATAGAAATTTTTAAAACACCCCCACATATTAGTATCACAAACGGACAAGTAGAAAGATTTCACTCTACGTTGAATGAAATCATGCGATGTATCAAAGCGAAAAATACGTTTGATTCATTTTCCGATCTACATAATAATTCTATCCATAGTTCCACAAATTCTAAACCAATAGAATAATTCTTTGGACATAGAGTAATAACAGATCCAACACAGTTAGAAAAATTTAGAAAAGAGAATATCGAACGATTAGAAGCAAAACAAGAATTAGATTTAAAATATCATAATAAAAATAGAAAACCATATAAAGATTATGCTGTAGGAGAAACAATTTTTGTGACAATAAATAAACACCCAAGAAACAAATTTTTATCAAGGTATAAAAAGGAAATTGTTTTAGAAAATGATATAGATAATGCCATTACAAAAAGAATAAAATAATTCATAAAAATCTTATCCGAAATTAAACATTTTTTACAGAGTTTTCAGCACAATATGTGTTGCTGAAGTGGAAATATTAAACTATTCCAACTCGCCGATAATAACATTCGATACAGGACACACTAAATTACAAACAGAAACCTTTAGAATTATCCACTCAATCAACATCTCCCAATACCAAATAGCTTTGAAGGAAATAAATAACACCATTTATCAGAATTTAAACCATCCATTATTTCCTAAATTATGAAATATGCCAATCCCAACTAGCATTAAATAATCTTAGATTAAGAAATAAGAATAAAAGATCTATCGATTTCTTAGGAACGATATGGAAATTTATAACCGAAACTCCGGATCATAATGACTTAATATTATTAAATAATAAAAATAAAGACTTAATAAATAACAATAATAAACAACATATGATAAACAGAAATTTTATTAATGATATCCATAAAATATCTGAAATTCTATCTAAAATTGTATTAGAAAGTGAATCCGTGCAAAATGCATTGGCAATGATTATAAAAGAAAAAATAAGAATTATTAAAGAAGAATTAATAAATATAGAACATGCTATAAATTGGTCAAAAGTTGGCATTATTAACTCATATATATATATACTCATATATTAACTCATATATATAGCATTAGAATTTAGCGAAACCAAAATCGCAAGTAGCCAAGACCAACTAATATTCATTATAGATATACCAATTACTGAAAAAGAGACCTGCAAGTCAAAACTAATTAAATCTGTCAAGAAAAATAATTATATATATAAATTCAAAAATAATAAAATAATTAATTGTAAAAACAAAGTATTTGCTGTAAGAAAAGAATGTAAAACAGCTAACAATATAAAATATGTAAAAACAAAAATAATGATACATGTTTACCTAACTTACTAAAGGGAAACAAGTTAAAAAGCAGTAAGTTCGGCCGGGCCGAACTTTTAATACCCTCCACCATTTACAACGAATTTGGAAATTTTCAAAAAATAAAATCCTTAAAAAAATCTGTTAAAATTTTAAAAATACCGAATATAGCCGTTATGTTGGGGTCTATACGACGTGGACATACATATGCATTGTTTGTCATAAGCCATTACCATATTCAAATTCGAAACTGGACCCGCACCGACAATTTTCTGTCACAGACTGTAGTTCCCATAACGAACTTCAAATATCAAATTTTAAACAATTCCGGTTAATTATGTCGCTAAAATCATCAAAATACCGAACATAGCGAGGTGCCGTTATATGGGGGCAATACGAAGACGTGGACCTGCACAGACAATTTTCAGTCTTAGGGTGTAGAATCCATTTGGAACTTAAAATACCAAATTTGAAACAATTCCAGTGAATAATGTCGCTAAAATCATCAAAATACCGAATATAGGGAGGTACTGTTATATTGGGGCTATACGAGGACGTGGACCTGCAAAGACAATTTTCTGTCTTAGGGTGTAGTATCCATTTGGAACTTCAAATACCAGATTTGAAACAATTCCCGTGAATAATGTCGCTAAAATCATCAAAATACCGAATATCGGGGGGTACCCTTATATGGGGGCTATACGAAGACATAGACTTGCACAGATAATTTTCTATCTTAGGGTGTAGTATCCATTTGGAACTTAAAATACCAAATTTGAATCAATTCCGGTGAATAACGTCGCTAAAATCATCAAAATACCGAAAATCCGGAGGTACCGTTATATGGGAGCTATATGAAAACGTGGACCTACATGGCCCATTTACGAACTTAACCTGCCTACTGGAAAAATAAACATGTGTGCAAAATTTTAGCCATCTATCTCAATTTATTCGAAAGATAGCGTGATTACAACAGACAGACAGACGGACAGACAGACAGACAGACAGACGGACAGACAGACAGACAGACGGACATCGCTAAATCGACTTAGAATTTTACGCTGATCAAGAATATATATACTTTGTTGGGCCTGACATGAGTATTTCGAGGAGTTACAAACGGAATGACAAAGTTAATATACCCTCCATAGTATGGTGGAGGGTATAAAAATCACAATGTACTGTTATTAAAGGATTTCATACACCAATAATTTTCAACTACAACCGGTTTGATAATATTAAATGAATTTAAAAATAAAAATTATTGGAGAATTATTTAATCTGAACGGAACATACGTAATTAAATATCAAAATACATCGATAACAATCGGAAATCAACATTATAGTCTCACTGAGACAATCCTTTACAAACCATTACCTGCGATAATACATTTACCATCTATAATACCTTTGAAAAAACACCTTCTTTACAAAGTTTGGGGCAACTTCACACTAATAATACATCAATAATAAAATTAATAAAAAACAAGTAAAAAAACTGTAAGTTCGGCGGGGCCGAAATTTTAATACCCTCCCCCAATTGGTACAAATTTGGCAATTTCAAGAAAAATAATAAATAAAATCCGTTAAAAATTCTGTTAAAATCTTAAAAATACCGAATGTGTCGTATAGACGTGGACCTGCATAGGCAACTTTTGTCATAAGTTATTACAATATCTAAATGCGAAACTTGACGAAAATCTGTTTATAATGTAGCTAAAATCATCAAAATACCGAATATCGGGGGGTACGGTATATGGGGGCTATACGAAGACGTGGACCTACATGGCCCATTATCTGTTTTATGCTGTAGTATCTATTACGAACCGAATTTGGAAGTTTCCGTTAAATAATGTCGCTAAAATCATTAAAATACCGAATATCGGGGGGTAGCGTTATATGGGGGCTATATGAAGACGTGGACCTACATGGCTCATTTTTTGACCTAGGATGTAATATCCATTACGAACTTCAAATATTAAACCATTTCGGTTAATAATGTCGCTAAAATCAAAATACCGAATATAGGGAGGTACCGTTATATGGGGGCTACACGAAGACGTAGACCTGCACTGTCTTAGGCTGTAGTATCCATTACGAACTTCAAATGCCAAATTTGAAACAATTCCGGTGAATAATGTCGCTAAAATCATCAAAATACCGAATATCGGGAGGTACCGTTATATGGGGGCTATATGAAAACGTGGACCTACATGGCCCATTTACGAACTTAACCTGCCTCCTGGCAAAATATACATGTGTGCAAAATGTTAGCCTTCTATCTCGTCTTAGGATTTTACGCTGATCAAGAATATATATATACTTTGTTAGGTCTGACATGAGTATTTCGGAATGACAAAATTAATATACCCTCCACAGTATGGTAGAGGGTATGATAAACAAATTATTGGATTTGCAACAAGTTTTACAC